CCCCTGTGGCCACCCCTGGGAGGGACCGTGGGTTTGAGAAGCTGGCAGAGCCCACTGGGAGCGAGAAAGGCTGACGGGGCCAGGCCCTAGAACGCACTTCCGTCCTTTGCGAGCCCGTGACCGCCGCAGGACACCTGCTACCTTCCATGTACGTGGCAGAGACCCCGAAGGAGGACAGGGCTGTGGAACTGGCTTCTGAGAAAAGCTGCTCCTGTATTTTGAGACCATTATCAAAAGATAGTTATGATGGGCATTTAACAGAAAAATAGTATATTGATCCCAATTTTCTCCCTAGCTTCTCTCAAACTATCATGGATTTTATAACTGGAATTAATTGACATCATTTGTACAGGTGATTGGTACGCATTAAAACATGGCAGAACTTTTATATTCTTTTGGCTGTTTCAGGAGTAGAAATAAGTGAGGTTGCAGCCATTTCAATCAAAAACAATGGGATAGGAACCTCGGGCACTATTATTACACCATGAAGGCTGCTGCCAGAATTCAACGTGTCTTAAAAATTCTTTTTTAAGGCTACTGGTGCATTCTAGGTATCCGATACAGGTACAGTCATCCCTGGGATCTTGCATCTTTACAAGATGCATCTTGGTTCTTATGTTCCCCCATTCCCAGGCCTCTCTTCACCCCCTCCACCCTTCCCTGTTTACAAAGACTTTCCATATTTTTCCTTTTCACCTATTTTTTCTTTTCCCTTTTTCCCTTTCCCTCACCCCTCCCATTTCCTCTACTCTTTTAGACCTTTTCTTCCTATTTCACATAATCAATTATATATTTTGATCCTTATTTACAGTTTTAGTTTCTAACACCAGAGAAACTATTTGGTATTTACATGTGTGTGGCTTATTAATTTCATCTAAGAGTATGTCCTCAATATGCATCCATTTACCTATAAATGACTCTAGTTTCTTTTTCTTTATAGCTAAGGAGTATTCCATTTCGTTAAAACACACACACACACACACACACACACACACACACACACACACACACACACACACACATACATATATCCAGTCTCCAGTAAATGGGCAATTGGACTTCTTCCAAATTTAACTCTTAAAAACTATGCCTCTATAAACATAGGTGCACATATATCACTGTGATATGATTCTTTTAATTCTTTTGGAAAGATACCCAGCAGAGGGATGGCTGGGTCAAATAGAACCTCTAGTCCCAGCTCTCTGAGGTATCTCCATAGTGATTTCCATAGTGGTTGCACCACTCTGCACTCCCACCAACAATGGAGAAGGGTTCCTTTCTCCCCACAACCCCTCCAGCATTCATTATTGGTAGATTTCTTGATAGCAGCTATTCTTTCTGGGGTGAGGTGAAATCTCAGTGTTATTTTTATTTGCATCTCTGGAATGACCAGTGACGTTGAACTCTTTTTCATCCATTTCTTTCCTGTTTCTACTTCTTTGTCTGAGAAATGTCTGTTCATTTCAGTTGCCTATTTTAAACTTGGTCTTTATGTTTGGGTGGGTCTGAGTTTTTTGAGTTCTTTATATATTCTAGATAATAGACCTTTGTTTGAGGAACAGCTGGTCAAAAATTTTCCCACATTGTGGATTATCTCTTACTTCTGCTTATGATTTCTTTGGCAGTTCAGAACCTTTTTAAAAAGATGAGATCCCAATTGTTGATTATTTGTGCTAGTTTCCCTACTACTGAGGTTTTGTTCATAAAGTCTTTTCCTGTGCCGATATCGTCAAGAGTTCTACCTAACTTATCTTCCAGTAAGTTTAGTGTTTCTGTTTTAATATTTATATCTTTAATCCACTTGGATTTTAGTTTAGTGCATGGTGAAAGATATGGGTCTAGTTTTAATCTTTGACAAGTTGAAATCCAGTTTTTTCAGCACCATTTATTAAAGAGGCTATCTTTCCTCCAGAGAGGGTGTTTGGCTCCTTTGTCAAAGATGAGGTGGCTGAGTACATCAGGAATTGACTCTGCATCTTCCAATCTGTTCCACTGATCCTTGGATCTGTTTCTTTGCCAGTACCATGCTATTTTTATCACAGTAGCTTTGTAGTATAGTTTGAAGTTGGGAATTGTGATATCCCCTGCCATGTCTCTGTTGTCTAGAATTGCTTTTGCTATTTAGGTCTCTTTTGATTCCAAATTAATTTTTGAATTTTTTTCTCTAGTTCTGTGAAATATACGGTTGGGATTTCAATAGGGATGGCACTGAATCTGTATAGCAGTTTTGGAAGTATGGCCATTTTCACTATATTGAGTCTTTCTACCCAGGAACAAGGGATGTCTTTCCATTTTCTAGTATCCTCTCAATCTTTTTTAAGAGTGTTGTAGTTCTCAATGTAGAGGTCTTTTGTTTCCTTTGTTAGATTGATTCCAGGATATTTCGTTTTTTTTATGCTATTGTGAAAGGGATTTTTTCGCTAATTTCACTCTCAGTGAGTCTGTTATTTATATACAAGAAGGCTATTGATTTCTCAGTATTTTCCTAGTATCCAGCTACTTTACTAAATCTGTGAATTAAATCTAAAAGTCTTTTGCTGGCTTTTTTTTTTTTGAGTCTTCTATGTAGAGTATCATATCATCAGCAAATAATGACAGTTTCATTTCTTCATTTCTTATCTTTATTGCTTTTATTTCTTTCTCTTGCCTAATTGCTGTGGCTAATGTTTCCAAAAATATGTTGAACAGGAGTGGTGATAGTGGATATCCTTCTCTTGTTCCTGATTTTAGCATGAAGGTTTTCATTTTTTGACAATTTAATATGATGTTAGCTGTTGGCTTTTCATAGATAGCCTTTATCAAGTTGAGATAAAGACCATCTATTCAAATTTTCTGCAGGGTTTTTATCATGATTGCTTGTTGAATTTTGTCAAATGCTTTTTCAGTATCTATTGAGATGATCATATGGTTTTTGTCCTTGATTCTCTTAATATAGTGTATTACATTTATTGATTTACGTATGTTGAACCATCCTTGCATCCCCAGGATAAATGTGACTTGTTCAGGGTGTATGATCTAGTTAATAACACTCTGTATTCTGTTTGCCAGTATCTTATTGAGGATTTTTGCCTCTATGTTCAATAGGTAAATTGGGCTGTAGTTCTCCTTATTGGCTGGGTCTTTCCCTGGTTTTAGAATCAAAGTAACACTTGCTTCCAGGAGTGAATTTGGAAGTATTGCTTCTCTTTCAATTTCATTGAAAAGTTTAAAGAGTATTGGCAATAGTTTTTCTCTAAATGTCTTGTAGAATTCATCAGTGAAGCCATCGGGACCTGAGTTTTTCTTTGTTGGTAAAATTTTAATTACATTTTCAATTTAACTGACTGTAATTTGGGTGGTTAGAATTTTTATATTTTCTTCATTCAAATTTGGTAATTCATATGCATCTAGAAATCTGTCCATTTCTTCTGTGTTCTCCATTTTATTAGAGTACAGGTTTTCCAAGTAAGTATTTATGATCCTCTGGATTTCTGTTGGATCTGTTGTGGCTTTACCATTTTCATTTCTAATTGCATGAATTTGAGCCTTTTCTTTCCTTTTGTTGATAAGGTGGGCTAAGGGTTTATCTATTCTATTTATTCTTCCAAAAAACCAACTCTTCGATTGTTTATTTTTTGTATCATTCTCTTAGTCTCCACTGCATTGATTTCTCTTTATAATTTCCTCCCATATATGAGCTTTGGGTTTCTCTTACTCTTCTTTTTCTAGGAGCTTAAGATTCACCATTAGGTTATTTATTTGCACTCATTCTGTTTTCCTAGTGTGGGCATACACTGCTATGAATTTGCCGTTCCTCTGTGTTGTGCTGGTATTGTCATTAAACTGTAAAAACGTTCTAATTTTTTCTTTAATTTATGCTGTGACCCATTCATTGTTCAAGAGAACGCTATTCAATTTCCATGTATTTGTGAAGTTCTTACAGTTTCTTATGCTATTGATCTCCAGTTTAATTGCACCATGGTCTGATAATATACATGGGATAAGTTCAATTCTTTTGCATTTACTTAAACATGTTCTATGAGCTAGGATGTGGTCTATTTGGGAAAATGACCCATGTGCAGCTGAAAAGAATGTATATTCTGATGTCATGGGGTGGTGTATTTTTTGAAATGTTCTTTTTTTCTTTCCCCCTTTGGTTTTCCTAGTTTCCTACGAACCTGCAAATCCAGAACACACAGACTCTTTGTTACTCTGTGTAGCATTTGGGGAATGCATTGCAACACAAACTTATAGTCTCAAACTTGCAGAAAATTTTGTTGCTCCTTCTGTAACTTAATGGTTTCTTTCTGGGTCAAAAGACAAATATGAAGTTTTACCCAGGGAGCAATGCAGCTTCGGTAAAGCGTCCTGCCTTTTTTGTTATAAAGTATCATTTTCTCATGGAAAAGAAAATCCTAGTGTATACCCAGATCCTAAAAACAAATGAATTTGGGTCACATTTCATATTTACTTTTCTTCAGAAATATAAAATACTGGTAATTGGGCATGAGGTTTCCTTTGACAGTTGTAATTCTACCTTCCCAGAAATTATTTGCTACTATGCCTTTCCACTGTAAATTTGGAGTAGAGGGCTTCAGGATTTTGTCTATTCATTTTGAGAGTAGTGATCACCAAAGAAACCCTAGAAAAGAAAATCTAAAAGAAACAAAAAAAAAAAACAAACAAAAAGGAACCTTATTATTGGTTGAAGCTATAATTTATCACTTAGGGCCAGGGATTTCTCTTAGTGGTGTCGCCACCTGCCTTGCAAGTGCAAGGTCCTAAGTTCAATCACTGGTACCAAAGGGGGAAGATCTATCTATCTATCTATCTATCTATCTATCTTATCACCTTTCTTGGCTAAATGTTCAATTTGTTAAATACAAAAGAAAGCAACCTCTAGTATTTAATCAAGAAATATTCAAATATTTAGATTTTTAATTGTGCAATATCTCTATTCAGGCAGTTTTGTTTTTGCTTTTGGTAAAAACGCTTTGGCCTTCATTATCTTATTCTTATAGCCTTGTATGGACAGTGATCACACCCATCCATCAGGAGAGCTACCAGAAAGCATGCTGATCAGCCTGGAGACTAAGATAAGGGAGAGGCAGGACACAGGGGCCCTGGTGTCCTCTTCATAAAGTGACTCTGGTTCTGCACCAAGAATCTGCCTGCACCACAAACCAGGTAAAAATCTCCATGCAAAACCTCATCTCTGTTTTCCTTGCAGATTGCATAATTTATCTCCGATAACAAATGCATCATCACCGAGGCTCAGTGGAATAATTCTGAGTATTTACCAAATAGACCATGCAAAATCATATTCTGTGGATGGGCAGACTGTGGAAGAGATGCTGAAAACTGGCACTGATAGTAAAATTGCAAAGTCAGCCACTTATAGCAGAGCAGCATTTAAAAATCACATAGACAAGCAGAGTGGCCTGGGCTAAAAATAAGGCCCTGGGCTTCCATCCCATAGAAGTGCTTTGATGGGAGGGGATAGGAACTCCAAAATTTCTGTTTAAGAAATGGATTTTTTAAAGAAGAAATTTTTGGAGTCAAATATTAACATGAGTTTTTCATGTCTACCCATACACAGATATCTATCAATCATGTATCTATCAATCATCTATCTCTCATCCATCTACAGAGAGAAATAGGTACATATCTATATTTACTATAATCTGCAATGCTGAAGAGTTTGAAAGAAAGATGGAATGTAGGGGCACGATAAAGCAAAAAAAAAAAAAAAACAATTACATCAATGTTTAGAACAGGTTGCAAGTCACTGCCAAGTAACATGGTAAAAAATAATCAACCTTTTATATTTACATTAAATTTGCAGCTTTCAAAATACTTTTCTGTATAGGCTCATTTGTGGTACTGTCAATAGCCGTTGCTAGATGATATTATTCTCATTTTAGAAGACAGAACAGATCCATGGGGTTTTAAGAGATTTGTGCACAATTACAGATATGTAAATGATGGAGCTGCCCAGAATCCAACCTCCTTATTTTTCCACACACTTGGCAAATGCTCAGCAGCCCAAGAGAAAGAGAAATGAAGCCTTAGAGATTCACGAACGGCATACAAGCAAGGCAGAGGTATCTGTCCCTTGCGCACAGGTGCACAGTGGGCACAAGGACCACTGAGGAAGGCAGAGCAGAGCAGAGTGGACCCCGCGTTTCCCAGATATACTGCCATCAGTGCCCCAGGAATGGACATCGCACTCACAGCCCGCACCAGCACCATTGTAAGAAGGCTTATTTCCTCTGCTAATTCATTTTAAAAATGACAGTTCTTAACTGCCTTTGATCTTTCTTAATTTTCAACTAGTTTTAATTCCAGTCAGCATTTTAAGTCAAATTATGTAAAAACAAATTGTTGAGTTTAAGAAAATTTGGTTTTCAAATTACTGATGCTATCCTTTCCCATTACTATCCTTCAGAATTTACTGAATTTGTCACCACTTGACTTAGGAGTACGTGTGTATCACCTGCTCCTGAAGCTATGGTATAAGCATCATAAAAGTAACATGTTTGTCTTCTTATTTTATTTTATTTTTTATATTTTTGCTCTGGGGATTGAATGCAGGACCTTGCACTTGCACGGCAGGCGACAACACCACTGAGCTAATCCCTGGCCCCACTTGTCTTCTCATTTTATTAAACAAAATTCACAATTTATTTAGACTGAAATACACTATGCAAAGATTTCTTCACCCAAAGCAACAGTAATATTTTCTGTATTATTTCTAGATAAACCACAAAACATTCATTTTGTAGGTTTTCAGGTTTTGCTTATAAATCAAGACGAGGCAGCAGATAAGAGTCATGGAAAAAGACAGAAGAAAGCACACAAGTCACTTGCCTGTGTGGATGGCTTCTGGTCCTAATTTTTAATCACTGCCCTAGCTGCAGTATGTAGAGGCATGCCTGACATGAAGTAGGCACTTAGTAAGTGATTCTTAGATTTGTAAGGGGTGAATAAATGGTTGAAATCTGATTTTTCCTCATCTATTTGCATGGAATCTGTCCTTACCTAAGCCCCTTTCCACTACACTCTTGTTTTCCTTTTCCAGCTCCTTTTCTGTGAAATTCCTTAAGACTTAAGTGTTTGGTCTTTGTCCTCAGGATTGTTCTTCTCATTTTCTTTATTCGGCAAGTGCAATTTACGATTAATCCTCATGCACTTTACCCACAGCCTCTGCTTCACCCCCGTGGTGGTGTGGCCTTGGAAACTGTCCATGGTTCTTCCCCGCTCCTCTCTGAGGCTGTTTGCTGGGTGTACTCGCCAACCACCACGGCTAAGCAGCTTTGCCCACCACCTTTCTGCCATGATCTTCATGCCTGGGCACTGGTTACCTATGGACCGAACCCTCCAAAGTATGCACTGAATGAAGCCTCTCTTGCTTCGGGTGTGATTATTGGGTATTGGGATGAGCCTGAAAGCTTACTACTGTATAGACCTAGAAAAAAAAGTAGGTGGTGAGGGCTGGTCCTGATGATCGCTGGTGCTGTCCTGCTTGGTTAGGCCGCTCTTTCTGTAGGCAGCGTGAGAACAGTTTCCTAGGTAGAATGTGAAAGGCAAGTGCCGCTGGGGGTGAAGGTTTCTGCTGGGGAATGGTTCTGCCACTGAGCACAGGAAAATACTTCTTCCGTCAAGATAATCTCACCAGAATAACCGAGGGTCGATGTCTCCAGCCTTGTCAAATTCCTCTGAAATATCTCAATTTACAGGATGCTCTTCCTTCCATTTAGCATTAGATCTGTACTAATTGCACGGTGAGGTCTTGCTTCTTGGTTTTAAGCAAATTCAGCCCTGCAGAAAAGGAAGATTGTACTCTAGTACACACTCAGAAGTCTTTATGTTTTTATGTCTGTCTGCACCTGGAATTTGGAAGCTTTGAGTTCATTATTTTTCTTTAGTAGTTTGTTCAGAGATGCTAAGAGCAGCCATCGCTCCCACTGGGTTTATCATGCATCCTTGCCACGCATCGTGACTAGTGGGCACATGGTCTACCCTTCTCAGCCGCTTGCCTTGCATCATTTCAAACAGAAGGTGAAGAGTGTTTTCTAAGGTATACCAACTTTATATCTTTGATTGAAATATTTATTCCAGTGTAAAAGACACACATGCTTATTAAGATTTGGCAGCTATTAGTCACCAAAATATTTTTATCCCTACGTTTTCATTTGTACAGATCTGCTCCAAGCCCCTAGCCAATTAACTCCTGCTTAATTCTTTGTGTGTTTTGTACACTTATTTGTTTTATTAACTTAGTTGAAAAATGTTAACTCTTGTGAACAATGAATTTAACAATGAATTAACAAATTTGTATTTGTAAGCTTTGAGTTCATCGGTGACCCATATACTCTTTCTCTGCACTTGCTGGTAATTTTTCTTTAACCCTGTTTTGTTCTAGGAATATATCATATTCATCTATGAGTTCATGAATTAATTCTTAGAAGACCTATACATCTCATTAATAAATACATTTCCAGTAAAATGTATTTTTCATGATTTAATCAATTGTGTACTATTAATAATTATATAGTAATTCGGTACAAGGCAACTTTGTTAACACAGCTTTATAGGAACTGAAAAATCAATTTCAATTTATAAATATAATTTAGTTGAAGAGAAGAATATTAGTAGGAGCCATAAAAATGTCCACACATAAAGTGTAGCATAATAGGATAAATTTCTGTGGATTATGTCTCATGCAAATATTCACTGGGGAAGACACAAGATTGGTTGAAAATGATCTAAAATACCCCACTCATGGGAAATTGCTTGGATTATGAGGTAAGTGGGATTCTTTCCTTCCTTTGTACAGAATGAGAGGCTATACCCAAATGGGCATTCCGGTGAAACTCACCTGTTAGAAAAGTCTATAATGTGTCATTGGCTCTAAGGCTTTGTAATGACGAGAAGCTGGTATGACACCTATTTTCCATTCTGTTCTGGAATTAAAATATTGATTTGTAACCTGTCCGTGTGACTCTTTACCAGTCATGTTGCTTTTGTATTTTGTCTATAGGACAGAGGAGAAAACAGTAGAGTGTCCGTCCACTGATAGACTCCATGCTGAGTGTCTGGAGGAAAACTGTGCACTCTGTTTAGAGGATGGTAAGATGGGGACCCTGGCCTTGGTGGAGTCCCCCCAAATATATAACGTACACCAGAGAGTATGGAGTCTCTGTAAGAAATGAGTGGTTGCATGTGGAAACCTGCTTCACAGAGAAAAATACAGCACTTATATACATTGAAGTAAACATTGCGCTTCCATGGATAATGTGTAAACTAATTCAGTTGTATTGAAAATATTTAGAAAAGTAAAGTAACAGCTTTATTCTCAAATTTTAATGTAAAAACAAATGATAACATATTATGCCACTATTTGAAATTTAGCCTGAACATCTTTAGATTATCATAGATTTATAATTTATCAAAGCTCTTTTAGGAGTCATACATATGAAAGTAAAACTCAATGACCAACACTACAGATATTTAATTTTAAATGACTTTTCAAATAGGAGACATTTATTTGGGAAGTTTATAAACCTTGCAGAAATCCAGAAAGATGAAAAATCACATGATCAGGGAAAAGATGCATCAGAATGACAGGAACCAAAAAAGACTTCACTGCAACTCTTGTGATTTGTCACTGCTGTGTAATGACTGTACCTACTTTAGAATCCACAGCCACTGGCTGTGCTCTACAAAGCAGCAGAGTGAAACTGTGCCCAGCACTGAAGGCAGCCCTGCCAGGGTTGGCAGGTCGGTGGATTCCAGCTACCCAGCAGAGGCCAAGGGTAACCACACTGTCAGAGGGGCAGACTTTAAAACTAGTCTCACATCATGTTCTCTCATAAACCTGCATAGAACATCAGCCTTCACTATGAGGAGGCATAACACCCAGATCAGGATTCCACAAAAGTATCTCAAAATGAATTGACTGTGTGAAAATGAAAATACTTGCACTGTTAGAACCAAATATAAAATAAATGTGTTCAGTATGATTAAAGTAAGATAATAAAACAGTAAAAACAATACAAGAACAAATGACTCAGAATACATACATGAAAATTATCAAAGTATCAGTAATAGATTGGAGCAAAATATTTATTAAAATTAAAACACAAAGCAAGGATTAAAGGAGAGGCAGACACTCATGACGACACTTTATAGAATCTATCACAGGATGACAAAGATGAGAAACATGGAAGATCCATTATGCTAAATGAGAGACAGCAAGAGGTTCATGTGCTCATTGCTGGAGTTTCAGAGCACAGGAAGTGGTAAGTGGAAGGCGAACTATTGCAGAGCTCACAGACATATGTGTGTTCAGATGGGAAAAGTTCAACAATTTCCAGGAAGGGAGGAAAGAAAAAAGAATGGAAGAGAAGAAGGAAGGAAGGAAGGGAGAGAGGGAGGAAAAGGAAGACTTAGGGAGGGAAACGGGGAGGAGAAAAGAGAGTTTCCTGAATAGATGTTATTGTGAAACAGAATAACAACAGTGACACAGCTTTATCTGGCCAGAGAGAATAAACAGAAAACATACAAATACCTTCTACACTGCTGACTTACTAACAGTAAGTGAAAAACCAGAGTGGGATGAAAGATTCAAAGACTAAAGGAATTTAACTACAGACTGATAATTGTATAAGCAGCTAAAGTGCATGATCCTAAAAGCAGAGAAACTTGACCATAAACAGAATTTAGCTGTTAAAACATCTAAGAAATGTACTATATAGGAAAGCAACAAAGTAGAAAATAAAACAAATACTGTAAGAAATGGTATAGATAAAAAGAAGAATAAAAATGAAGGACATTAAGACATTTATTATAGCCATATTCTACACATTCAGAAGTTTAGGTAGATATAAAAGAGAAAGAACAAAATACTATGAAAAGAAGAAAACTAGAAAATCTAAGAAAAACTATACTGAGTGAGATGAATGACAAACTAGACAAAGCAAAACAGAAGCTTAGGGAGTTTAGGACGTGACAACAGGTGACTGCTTGGTTTCCCATCATGGGGGAGCAGAGTAAGTGCTGCTCCCTGGTTGCACTTGGAGGACACTCTTCAGGGTCCACAGTGCTCAGAAATAGAGCAAGTACGAAAGCAAACATGGGAGGCAACTGGAAGGGGAAGCCCCAGATGAGTGTCAGGACCAGGATGTTTAGAGGAGGAAGCGGGGCCATCTCTTGATCCCACACCACGGGCAGCTGTGGTCTGACAAGCACACTGTCTTGGGACCGCACCTCACCCCAAAGGGAGAAGCCAAGTACAGTGAGGCTGCTGGGCTGCTCTGTTATGCACCCACCTGGCAGTTGCCAGATGCCCCTGGCACCAGCTCTTTCCCCAGTGGAGACAGAGCCCAGCCAACAAGTGGCTCACAGGACAGAGGCCGCTAGATGAGGCAGTAGGAAGGAACAAGCTATAAAACCAACCAGACTGTAAAGACTGGGTGGGGACAGATGCACCCTTGGGACAAAAGAGTCAAGGACAGGCCCTGGAGAGGGCCTGGAACTGCACGGGTGAACAGCAGCTAGAGTGACTCTGGGGTGGGGGAGAGACAGACACTACAGCAGTGGCAGGATGGGCACTGTCTGACCGGCCCCCAAACAAGGCTGAGCTCTGTGCCCATGTGGTGTGCTGCCCAAGGCCCACCGTGAGCACCTTAGAGCTCAGTGCCAGCACGGGATCCACCCCATCGCTCACTGAGGGCTGCTGAGCCTGGCCCCTGAGTGAGCCCATCCCACTGGCTGCTAACACTGTGTCCAGAGGCCCTCCCACCAGACTGAGCGTGCTAAGTGACTTCCAGGGCCAGAAGGAGCCTCTGAGAGGTGTGGACAGAGAGCCTGGTGTACCGGGAGAGCTGGAGAGGGGTGCTGGGGTCAGAGAAGCTCGGAGAGAGGGGACCGAAGCAGTCCGAGGGGTGAAGGAAGCCCCTCCAGAGATCAGCCGGCACCAGCCCCGCTGTCCTTCCCCACGAGCAACAACTGGACGTGAATGATCACAGGACAGTGACAGAGACCTCTGGATGCTCTTGTTGCAGCTGCAGCCTCCAAGAGAGAGTCAGACTCAAGGACCCACTCAGACCCCCATGTTCCTTATTTACAGGGAGGCAAGAGAACAAATCATCAGAGGAGAGCCAGCTGGAGCACCTCCCAGCATGGAACACGGAGAACAGGAAAGCACAGCCCACCCACCAAGGCCTCTCCAGGATAGCGTTGCCCTGGTTTTGAACTCAGGAAGAAGAGACTCCCTTGTCAAATTCAGACCAATGTATAAATAGCACAGTTGGAGGTTAGAAGATGATGCCAAAAGGGCAAAATTTATCCCCAAAATAAAATTTTACAAATCTGTGGAAAGGATTCAACATTCTGGTAAATGAACTATATAGAACCCCTAATTTCTAAGACCAGAAAATAACTTCTTGACCCACTGTAGTCATGATTCCATCAATCCAGTCAAAAAGAACATGAGATCTGTTAGAGAAAAACATCAAGTAATCTCTAAAGGCAAGACAATCAAAATGACAGCAGATTTCTCAATACAAACTTTAAAAAAAGAGCTTCAAGCCCTAAAAGTAAACAAATTTCAGCCCAGCAATATACCTTGCAAAAATGCACCAATGAACTTAATAGAAAAAAAATGCTTTAGCTTAAAAAAAAAATTGATGGCAAAAAAAGGTCCATTACAAGGAAAACCAAGAAGAGTTCATTACCACCAAATTGGTATTGTGGAAAGTACTTATTTATGGTTTAAATCTAGAATGTCCCCAGGACTCTCATGTGTCTCAGAGGTGGGAATTTTGGAAGGTGATTGGATAATGGGATGCTACAGTTATCAGCAGACTGAATCACGGATGAATCTTCAGAGAACACTGTTAGGACACTGAATCTGCTGGAAGATGAAACAAGGAAGCTCTTTAAAACATAGGCATAGACAGGGCAGTTAGTTGCACAAGATAATAATAACAAGAATCAACCAATGGGGTATTGTCAAAGTAAATACCTTCTACACATCAAAGAAAACAAGCAACAGTGAAGAGAAAACCTACAGAGCTGGAAAAATTTTGCCAGCTACTCCCCAGAAGACTAACATCTACAAAACATAAAGAATGAAAAAATTAGATTCACCCCAATAAATATTCAATCAAAAATCAGGCAATTGAAATGAATAGACAATTTTCAAAAAAGAAATACAAATGATCAGTAATAACGTGAAAAAATGTTCATAATCTTTAGCCTTTAAAAAATGCAAATCAAAACAATACTGAGATGCTATCTTATTCTTGAATGAATAGGTATCATCATAAA